GGAGGGGAGGGTTTCCCACACTGGACACTGGCCGCGCCGCCCCGCGCCGCCGCCCCGCCCACCTTCAACACCTCCAACACCCCGCCGGCATAATGAGGGCCATTAGCGTCTTATCACGGCTGATGCTATCAGCCGAACGTGCAAAGCGCCGCCAGTGTGTGTGTGCGTGTGTGTGTGCGTGTGTGCGCTATGCGTCCGTATGTGTGCATTTCAAAAGCTCATCGTTAAAACAAAGTGGTGGTCCTTCACCCACTATACTATGGACGGATGGCCGGCGGGCCGCGGGGGAGATTTTAATCGGGTTGGCGCGCCGTGCCGCCAAATCGGTCGTGTAACTTTTCGCGCCTATCCATTTTTTTTCTACACACAGCCGATGAAACGTGGATAAGAGTGCGAAAACGTCATAGCTTCCAGACCGCCCTGCCCGGTGCAGGTTAATTTATCGTTTTTGAAAGTTTTACTTTACCATCTCATTATTGTGCCCTAGTCGCACCTCGCGGCCGCGTTACTGCAACAAGTAGTGCCGCATTAACATGGCCAACAAATGCTGCTGCCATCAAAGCGCGGGAAACAATTAGCTAATGGCATTCGCGGCATGCTAATGAATCGTTATGCTGTGACCAGCCTCTCGGCTCTCTATAAACTGAAAATTGTAACCTGTGTATTTAAGGATAAGTCCCTAGAAGTGGTTGTAAAATATCCGGTGCGTCGTAAGGGTGAGAATTGGAAAATAATTGACATAGTTCCAACACCGTTTGCGTACAGAAATTTCATTTGCAAAATTTTGGCAAAACCCACTATGATTGTATCAAACTCCTCAAATATTCGTATCCTGTCTGAACAGCAAAGATCTGACTGCATTGACGGTCTCATCTGCCCATTGCCCAGAGAAACATCGTATAACGCAGACCTGGGTAGCTGTGTTAATAATATCTATACAAATAAAAATAGAAATCTAGAATCCATACGTAAGACGTGTCAGTTCCAATGCACGCCATACTTCGGACCGGAAATTCTTGGTTTAGGTTTAAATGATTACGTACTAGTACATCCTAAGCATGATTTGGTAGTCGACTGTCCAGGGAACGCGATTTTTCTGTCAGCTGTACCGGTAGGTGCGAGTAGGGTTAACATACCGTGTGACTGCGTGCTGCGACACGAGCAAAATGTATTGATTGATACACAGTATCCTTGTGACCCCCGTTTAAACAATGTATTCAACAGAACGGTCATATTGCCGTCTTTATGGTCCAAAACAAACAAGCCATGGAGTGCTGAACCGGAAAAATATGTGCATCCGGCTCTAAAAGTTTCCAATGTCATTTCTAAAAATCTATCTTTTACTCTCCCCGATTTTGTTGTAATGAGCGGCCCACAGAAACCAACAGGAAAAATTCAAACATCTCTATCCTCTGATAAAGTAATAGTGTATGTGCTTTGCGGTGTTTTACTAGGAATCCAAACTGGACTTATTATATGGATGATTTTTATTCAAAGGTCAATTAGTGGTTCCCCATTTAAGAGAGCTCCTACACCAGCCTTAACGCAGACAACAAGGCGTAGGAGAAGGCGAGACCAGAATGATGACTTAGAAGACATAGAATTAGACAACTTTCGCACTAGGTATGCCGCTAGACTTTAATAATTAATACTGTAGCATTAAAAGTAAATAGCAATAAATACAGTAGTGTAGTTTAGGGTTCTGGCTGGCACTGTGTGCCTGGGAGCCTCACTCCTGTGTGGCTTACTCCGACGATCGACAGGCAAGCAGGATCACCGCGGACCCAACTTCAGATACTTCGGGATCACCAAATTTCTATCCTTTCCTTAAGTTGCCAAGTCATTTAATGAGGAGGCACAGTCGATCGACGTTGTCTCGATTGCCCAAGCCAAGTCCGTAGGGAGGCGGCCGGACGGAGATGGGAAGGCGTATGGCGCACCCTCTCCTAGCCGAGGGACTTAAGGAAAGAACCACGCCGTTTGACCACAAACATAAAACTAAAAGTTGATGTTTGGGCGTTGGTTTAAGTCCAGGCGCATGACTACCACTCATAAAGTCGCGCGAGCTGCGGACAGGCGCAACGCCTGCCGCAGCCCACTGTGGTTGCCTTCGGCGCCATTAACAGTGCTGGCCACATCATCTCCAAAACCGCAAAAGGAAGAAGAACCTACCCTTTTGCCAACGTGCTTTCCGCGGCGTTTCCTGAATAAGCCACATGGGAGCCAGCGTCCCTGCCCGGTTGCTAGCCAGAGAGAAGAAAGAGATAGGGTTTAGATGACACTTCAATAATAGCTTAGTGCCATATTATTATTTAAAATGATACATTTTTGGGAGTAGTTTTAGAATTGTTACGGGTAGAAAATAATTTTTTTTTGGATGATTTCATCGTGAAACTTCATTTGTATATTCTTATGTATGTTTTGTCAATTGATAAGAATTTTTTTCTTGTATCCTTTCCCGTTGTGAAAACGGTTATGTATTTGTAATCTCGTATCTAAAAAAAAGTATTGTATCGGTCTCACACGCCCCTAGGATTTCTTTTGTAAATATTAGTATCATCAAGTTTTCTTAACGGTGTCTGTCGGGGTCGACAGTTTCTAGGCCGGGCGGATGTTGAGGGACAACTTCAAAAGTCGCGCGCCGCGACCCGGCTCACGGCCACCTAGACGAGCGGGTTCGCGGCGCGACGATTGATGCAGCAGTAGCACCGCCCGGCGGGCCCTTCGCGGCCCGCTCCGCGAGCCGCGGGGCCCTCCAGCGAGAGCGACACCTCGGCCTCGGGGCAGTCGTAGGGAAGCTAGAATCGTGTAAAGGTGCGTGTGAGGCCAAATCAATCAGTCCAAAGAATATACTCAAAGTCCAATCCAGTGTGAGTGTTCCACTTAATCCAAACCCTCTCGATCAGTAAGAAACCCGGAAAATAGGGAACCTCAACAGTCCGCGAGCGTAAACTCTCGGCAAATGTTTCAAGTTCTCATACACCGTCCGGATGACGGTTTTTGCCGCGGCGTGGCCGACCGGACAGGTCAAGTTCGGACTGTGTGTGTATGTGTGTGTGTGTGGGGGGGGGTGGTTAGGTGCGAGAAATGAGGAAGAGCCCGGTGGGCGTGCCGCGAAGGACGAGAGGGAGAGACGGGTGCACAATGGACCTCTCTCTGCCTCTCTGCTCATCAGCCAGTGAGGCACCATGGTGCCACTGCAGCGGGGCACGGCGCGGCACGGCGCGGCGAGGTCCACTTTGGGGATAGCCACCTCGCTGCCTCCGCGTAATACGAAGGGGATTGCTTCGCCGCTGTTGTGGTGATCGGAAGGGGTGCGTGTGCGAGACTGCGTATGTGTGCGTGTGTGTGTGTGAGTGTGTGCTTGTGTGAGTGTGTCGCGCAAGGTTGGCAGGAAGGAAGCAGAGCAAAAGAAAAGGGGGGAGGCAAAAGTCGCACGTCGTACAGAGTAATAGAGCGGGACGTTAAGGCATAATGGGATTGGGATAGAAAGGACCGTTTGAGCGGGCGGCCGAGGGGTTTCTTGAAGGGGAAGGGACGGGGCGGCCGGGCGGGGGGAAAGAGGCGCCGGCTGGCGGCGGACGCGTTGGGCAGAACTGCATCAATTATTTTCAGGAGACTAAGAGACAAAGAAAGGCACTTGAATTCTCCCTCAAATGTTTGATAAAACCGAAAGTTTTTAAAAATTATTTTTCGGGAGCGCAGCGCATAGGTCGCCTCGCCATGAAGCCCGTCGCGGCGGCCGCGGTGCGAAGCTGACTGACGCGTCGCGTGGCTCCTCTGCTCCGCGGCTCCATCGCGACACATGCAGCTTAGTTGGAGATCCGTCCGCCGCAGCAGCACCCGTCGATGCAGCCGTGCAGGCCCTGCAGGGGATGATGACGCGGTGCAGGGGTGGCTGGGGGAGGGGAGGGGATGACGCGCTGCAGCGGTGCAGCCGGCCCAGCCAAGCCCAGCCAAGCCCACCGCAGCCAAAGCCACGCCGGCCGGCCGGTTGGGTTCAGTCTGCCTCGAGCAAGCGCGCGGAGAGGGAGCGTCGCGGAGGCACAGCGTGCCATGTCCTCGTGGTGCCGGCGACGTGTGCTGGCTCGCGCCGAGCGAGAGCGGTGCGGCGACGCGGCGAACCGACAGGCAGCGGAACGCGCCGAGCGCGCCGAACGCTCCGGGATTAATGTGTACTGTGCAGTCATCCCCGTCTCCGGCCCCGCCGCCAAGGCCGTGGCCGCGGCCAACAAGCGGCCCAAGCCGTCGGCCAGGGTGCGTGGCCCGGGCCGCGGCAGCGCGCTGGGCAGCGCCGTGGGGGCCAGGGCCATGAGCACGGCCATGGGCACGGCCATGGGCACGGCCATGGGCACGGCGGCCGCCTTATCGGCGACAATTTATCAAAAGTGCATCGTGGCGAGGCGGCCGTACTGGCCCGCCGCGCCGGACGAGGACTTCCTTTGGCACTCTATGGACGGCCAGGATGTGAGTGTGCGTGTACGTGTTGGTGTGTGTGTGTGTATGTGTGTGTGTGCAGGATGCAAGCCCTGCTGCGTGGGCTGTTGTCAAACGACTGACTGCACTGGAGCACGGCGGCGGCAGCAGAAATCCTGTCGCAAGGACGATCCGGCATGGATGTAGTCTCGTCGCGTTTTCTGGTGTCTGTGAGCGGCGAAAAATCACGTTGATTTTTTGGGGGTGCTTTTAATGTTACCGTGAGGTAAATGGAGCAATAATCAAGTGCTGCAACCACTGTGACCGTTTCCTGGGATTTTTAATGTGGCGCACTCCTCCAACCGAAGCCAATGGATACTCCCCGACGTCGTCCTCGTCTCAGAGTGCTCCGTCTTAGTGCATCATCCATTCATTCATGCAAGGACTGCGTGATAAAAATCTGCTGTCGCCGCGCGCCGCGGGGAAGCGAACCGTCATCCCTCGCTGCCGGAAGCGAGGACGCTACCCGTTGCGCTACGCGCGCCTTGCCCCATCCGCCAGACTCACCGCCCTCCTTGTTGCAGGGCGCGACGCAGGACCTGTTCGAGTTGCTGGAGCGCGTGCAGAGCAGCCGACTGGACGACCAGCGATGCGTCCTGCCGCCGTACTTCTCTCAGGTGAGTGCCAATAAAAACGGGCCCGCGACGGGGACTCGAACCCGCGCCTCTCGCGCGGAAGCTGCTCAATGAGGCGTGGCCGGACGCGCCGTCCTGCTGATGGATGACTTTGCACGCGCCCGGGGGCCCGGGGCCCCGGTTCAAATCCCATCAAGTCGTTGTTGTTTTTCGCTACCGCCGTTCACCAGCCGGTCGTGACGTCACTGCGAACGCATCGACCACATGTCACAACACACGTGTGCAGGCCATGCAGGCGGTGCAAGCCAAGGAGCCGAAAAGTCAAGAAGGGGGCCGGCATTGTTTGAGCTCCCCAGGCGTGTCCAATATCGTTCCTTGTTGTCTCCGTCTTTGTGTTCGCGCGTGCGCGTGAGTGTGCGTGTGTGTGCTCCCTTTAGGATGATGTCGCTAATTTCACAAATATTTTTCCAACTTCCTGTCATCACAAGGTGACTGCTGCGCTCCTTTGAACGCGTCGCGGTCGTGCGTTTGAATGGCCACCCTGTCTTCTTGTTGTTGTCCAGCTGTTTTGCCCGCTAGATTTCGCTGTTAGATGAGATGGGGTAAAGATGTTCCCAGTGCAGCCTTGTAAAGACGTGCTATTTGCTCAAAGCGGCGTTCCGCTCTCGCCACGGCTTCCGCGGTCGAGGCCGACGAGGCCGGTGGAAGGGCGGGTCATGATTTCGAGGCGCGGGCGATATTTATGTTATTTATTCGCTGATATGGATCCGGTCCCGTAATTAAATTATCTAGTTCGGGCGCGCGGTCCGGCCGGCTTGACCGGACGCCTATCGCCCGTCTGCCATCGCCCGGACATTTTCATCTCGGGAGAGAAAATCTGAGGAATGGGTCTGCCTCCTGCCCCCTGCCCTGCCGGCCGGCCGGGTCATGAAGATATTGATACCACCGCGTGGTCGAGCTTGCCGCTCCGGCTGTCAGATTTTGGAGCGAAAGTGGTGAAAAAGCGAGGCGGGGTGGGCGAGGTGGGCGCGGAGTGGGCGAGGGGTTCCCACCCGCCGGCGTGCCCGGCAAGCCAGGGCAGGCCAGGGCAGCGCACCCACCCCTGCTCCTCAAGTGGCTGCTGCTTCCGCATTCATATCGCTTCCTGCGCGCCGCGCCGCGTTTTCGGGGTTTGACAACATCTTCGGCGCTTTCAGGCTTTCAATTGGCGGCCCGCCGGGAAGGAAAAGGAAGGGCGACCCGGCGCACTTGACCAGAACGGATAAACCGCACTCGCACAAAAGGGCCAGGCCAAGGGGAGCGGAGAGGGAAGGGAGGGAAAAAAGACGTTTTTCTTGGCGGCGGTGGCTTCCATTCTGCTATTTGGACAGCGGCTCCCATAGATCCACGGAATGATTTAGCGATCGTGAGCGTGTGTGTGTGTGTGTGGACCGATATCGCCAATGCACCGTCTTAAAGTGTTGAGAAACCCCTTCCCATTCACAGCTTTACACTCGACCCGAGCCGTCGCGCAAAAAAAATGTCGATATAAAAAAATCAATAAAACCGTCATCGTCAAGTAATTAATACAATAGAGTCGGTCCGTCGCGGCGTCGGTGCTGCCTGCGTCACGGCCTCGCCCTATCAGCCTGGGCTGCGGCGACTCGCCGGCGGGGCGCTGGCAGTGCTTGGAAGGCGCCCCGGGCTGCCCCGGGCGGACGCGGGATTTGATTGCGAACTGGCGAGCGCCAGACGGGCGGCGGCGGCCGGGCCGGGCGGGGCTCTGTGGCGGACCACTGCTCGGAACTAGTTCGAGAGGAACTTTATCGTGGGAGGCTCGTGTCCAAACAGACTCGCACACGGCCCGGGGCCAGTCGAACCATACGAGAGCGACCGCCTCTCGACCGCCGCCGCGCACGACACCTGGCCAGACGAAAACACACACACTTCCCCGTGCCACAAATCCCCCCGGCCGGCAGGCACACATACCAGCGTCGCCCGATGGTGGTATATCAAATCTGTGGGAGGTTGGAGGAGGGGGAAGGAGGGGGCGGGGCGGAGCAGACGGTCCGTACCCGGCGCGGCCACGGCACGGCCAATACGCAGTCATTAGGGCGATTGGGCGACGTGATAGCGAGGCGGTTGAGGTCCTTGTAGGGGTCCTTGTTGACGTCCTCCGGGTCCTTGTTTCTCACCTGGCGAGCGCGGCCTGGCGCGGCCTGGTGCGGCCTGCACCGTGGCGCTGCCGATCTGATCCAGCCGCACTTTCCATTCAGACCCCCGCTGGGCATCGGCCGGCCACGGTCACCGGAACTCGCAAGGCGAAGCGGCGCAGCGACCACCCCCTCGGACGGCGACGGCCCAGCGCCGTCGAAGGCTGCCTCGCCCGGCCGCGCCTTCCCCCGCGGCGTCCCGTGGGCGCGGCGTGGCGTGTCGCGTCGCGGCAAACGACGCTCTGTCCAATTGAACGCCACGCAGCGGAACGCTCTGGCGGAACTCCTCGGCCGCAGGTTAAGGGGATGATTAACCCTCCGCCCCTCGTGTGTGTGTGTGTGTCGTTTTCTTTCCTTCATCCCTGTTTCGAGGCGTGGTTTAATGGTGTTTTTTCGAGCGGATTCCTCTTTTGGCCGCCACCTTGTAAGAGACCGCGGCTTGCAGCGACGGCGACCTGGCGCGCCCTGGCTGTCTCCAGGCTCTAGCCGTGCGGTCCGGTGGGGGACTCATCTATCCACGGCCTTGCCCGTGGCGTGCATGGCCCTGCAGGCGATGCCGCACACGGCGCTGCACCGCGCTGCACCGCGCTGTCTCTCTCGCGCGCGTCCGCGAGGCCGCAAGGCGCCACGAGTGCGAGAGAGACGGAGAGATGCGCCGCGGGGGGCCTCATCCCGCAGCGGGCGAGTCGCGAAGAAAGTGATAGGACTCAGCCTCGTCGGACTGGCCGCCCTGTCCGTCCGAGCAGCTGCGGAGTGACTTGGGAGTGACTTGGGAGTGACGGACGTCCGACGGGCGGCGACGTCGTCTTGGCTCATTCGGCCCAGGTGCGCCACCCTCTTGGCCCCGCTACACTGTACTACACGCCGCTATGCAGTTGTCGCGGCGTCACGCAGTCACGCCTGTGCGGTCACGGCTGGCCGTGCCGTGCCGTGGCGTGCCGTGCCGTCCGGGACGGCCAGGACGCCGCCGACTCCTCCAAGACGTCCCAGAAGACGATGACGCGGCGTGTTTCACGTTTGTTTCACGGGCGAGTAGCCCGGCAGGGGTGGTCGTGCCGTCACAGACAGACGGACAGAAAGAGAAAGAGACTTTAATTGATTGTCTGTAAAGTGGCCTCCCTGGAGTCTTGGTCAGCAAGTCGTAGTGTCGCGTGTGCCCGCCCGCCCGTCCCCTTCCCTTCCCCTCCCCTCGCCGGATCCGGAACCGCATGTCACCGCGGCGGCGTACGTGTCCTAGGACTGGGAATGGCAAAACCTGGCGGCGAGCCTGGCCCCGTGTGTGTGTGTGTGTGTGTGTGTGAAGGTGTGTGTGTGTGTGTGTGTGTGTGAGTGTGTGAGTGTGTGTTAGTGAGTCGGAAGGGAAAAGAGATAAACGGCGCCGCCAAATGGAAGGACGTGAGAAAATGTCACGATTCTGGCCGCGCCGCGCCGCTCGCCTTTCCGGAATTGGACCGTCCTGGAGACTCAGCCCGTCGGAGCGCCAGCCGAACCATTCCGTAGGGCCGTTGCGTCGCTCTGTCTTCCCCAACTGACCCCAGGCGTTGCCCAGGGAGACGCGGCGAGTCGCCTCTCTGCAGGGCTGCTTGCTGTCGTGCGGCTAAAGGGGTACCTGCAGGGGTACCTGCACTGCGGGGCGGTATCGGTACGCCAGCCAGCCGGCCGCGGTGACTGCTCATCGCGCGGCACGCCCTAATTGGGGGTGGCTGCCGGGCTCCGTCGCTGTCTCTCTCGCACCCTTACGGAGAGCTCCGTGAGTGCGACAGAGACAGAGTGATCGACTCTTTTTGAATCGCTCGGCTGGCCGGCCGCTTGCCGTGTGCCATACGCCGTTCGTGAAGCGGTCGGGGCGGGTCGGGGTGTCTCATGGGCGTCTTGGAGGCGGCGCGGCCTGCTGCAGCTGCGTGCGCCGCGCGGGTCACGGACCACGCGGCGCGTGTAATTAATTAAAGACACACACACACACACACACCGACACGTCGTTATCTTCGGCGGCCTCGTTGTTGTTGATCGGCTTGCTCCAGCTCATCAAGGGCGTCGTCTTGGCGCGCGACTGTGCGACACGGCCCGCTGCGTCGCGTGTCGATCACATCCATTTTCGAGTGTAATTGCCCTGGCCGGGCCCGGCCGATAGAAGTAAGTCACGTCATCTTGTTAGACGGTGGGCAAGACGGCGGTCGCCGTTTGCCATCCCGGGGCGGCGGGGCGCGCGCCGCTCGGCCATGCATCGGGCCAATCAACAAGAAGTGCCATAAGACACGGATGAACGCAGCTGGTTACCGGGCCGAGGCCCAGGCCAGCGCCGTTATGGTCCTGTTCCTTCCTGTCTTGTCTTATTCCAACTGACAGACTGAGAAACGACTTCGGCGCGCCGCACACTGTCTGTCCTCCCTGCGCGCGCTGCGTGGAATGCCTGGCCGCGTCGCGGACGCGTCGCGGCGTGCATGGGAATGGCGCGCATCGTGTGCTGCACGCTGCGCCTCGCCGCCGTACGGCCCGTGCCCGTGTTCGGCGACGGCATTGGCCCAGATTCGGGGCCGCAGCCGCGCGGCCGCGCAGTCACCTGTCAAAGTTGCAGTGTCGCGGCTGAGGCCGTCCGGGCCGTCCACGCGGGATGCGTCGCAGCGTCGCAGCCTGGCAGGCGCACTTGCCGCGCCGCACGCGGCACACTGGGCCAAGAGGGCCGGTGGAGGCGAGGCGGTCAAAACTCCAGTCGCGTTTTGAGCTCCAAGGTCGCTGAACAGTTATCGAACCGAACGTGTGCGTGTGATCCCACCAATGGATTGCTGTCCGCTCGAGGGGGCCACACGTTCAATTCCAATCCCATTTAGCTGCTCGGCTAGAATTTTGGTC